GGGGGTTGGGGAGCTCCCCCCTGTCACGCACAGAGCAGGGCCGATCAGGGGGTTGAGGAGCTCCCCCCTGTCACTCACAGAGTAGGGGCCGATAGGGAAGCTGGAGCACCGCCCCCTGTCACACACAGAGCAGGCGAATCAGGGGGTTGGGGCGCTGCACCCTGTCACACTCAGGGCAGGGCCAATGGGGAGTTATGGGCTCTACCCTGTCACACACAGAGCAAGGCCCGTGGAGGGGGGTTGGGGCCGCCCCTCTCTATCACCCACAGAGCAGGGCCGATCAGGGGGTTGGGGCACCGCCACTGTCACACTCAGGGCAGGGCCGATGGAGAGGTTATGGCTCTACCCTGTCACACACAGAGCAGGGCCCGTGGGGTGGGGGTGGGGGGTTGGGGCACCGCACCCCTGTCACACACACAGCAGGGCCGATCAGGGGGTTGGTGTGCCACACCCTGTCAAACACAGAGCTGCAGGGCAATCAGGGGATTGGGGAGCTCCCCCCTATCAGGCACAGAGCAGGGCTGATCGGGGGTTGGGGTGCCTTTCCCGTCACGAACAGAGCAGGGTGGATAGGGAGGTTGTGGCCCCGCCCCCTGTCACACACAGAGCCGCAGGGCGATCAGGGGGTTGGGGAGCTCCCCCCTATCAGGCACAGAGCAGGGCTGATCAGGGGGTTTGGGCGCTGCCCCCTGTCACACTGATCCCGGTGCCGGGAGCCTTGCTGCTCCGCTGATCCCGGTGCCGGGAGGCACATTACCCTTTTACTATATAGAATAGAGGCCTGGTGCATGGGTAGGGGCTGGCTGGTTTGCCCTGAAGGGTGTCCTGAATCAGGGTGGGGTTCCCCACTGGGGTGCCTGGCCAGTCTGGGTGAGGGGCTGAGGGCTGTTTTCCGGAAGCGGGTGACTGAAGCTCCCAACCGCTCCTTTTTTTCTTTTTTTTTCTTTTTTTTATTCTGGGCCAGCTTTAGCTCTGAGGCCTCTCTGCTGAAAGCATCGATACAATGTTGCGGTCTGGCTGGCTGAATCCCGGCTGAATGAAAGCCGGTTTCTGGGGTTTTGTTTAGCTTCTTATTTGCAACATAGTACATAGTTGCTTAGAGTTGCAGCTGAGAGGCCGGCAAGTGAGGCGGGGAACGTTGGAGTTCGCCGTCACTGGAGCAAGCAAGCCTCCCTGCTCGCTTCAGTGCATGGCTGCCAGCCGCCATCTTGGCTGACAGTTAATTTGCATAAGGATATGCTGATTAGCCAATGGGAAGGGTAGCGGTCGTACGCTAATTACCATGTTTCTCTTTTATTAGTGTAGATGACTAGAGACTCGGTGCACAAAATTCGTGCACTCAGGGGGTTCCCTCAGCCCGGCCTGCACCCTCTCACAGTTTGGGACCCCTTGGGGATGTCTGACTGACCGCTTAGACCCAATTTAGCTCCCACAGGGAGTGGGCCTAAGCTGACAGTTGGACATCCTTAGCACTGCCGCAGAGGCAGGAGAAGCTCCTGCCACTGCCACTGCGCTCACCAGCCGTGAGCCTGGCTCAGGGCTTCTGGCTGAGCAGTGCTCCCCCTGTGGGAGTGCACTGACCACCAGGGGGAAGCTCCTGTTTTGTGTGTCTGCCCCCTGGTGGTCAGTGCACATCATAGCACCAGCCGTTCCCCCGTTCTGTCAATTTGCATATTAGCCTTTTATTATATAGGATGATAACTGCAGGACTTTGCATGAGACTCTAACGTGGACATACTTGTAAACTGTTACAGCTATTATTATTTTAAATATTTTTTTCTGGTCTGTTCTTGCTTCCCCTCTTTCTGGGACTGCAAGTTACTGAGACTGTTTATTTTTTTATACAGTCTTTTTAATTTGTTTTTTCCTAGTTAGATAATTTCTATTGATCCATCTTTAAAGTCACTGTCTCTTCTTCCAACAGTCAGGGTAATTCTTTATTTCTGATTTTGTAATTTTCAGTTCTGGAATTCCCATTTGGTTCATTTTATAGATCCTATTACTAAGCTGAGATTCCCATCTCTTCATTAAGTCCTTGAACATATTCATAATAGTTACTGTAAAACCTTGTCTGATAGTTCATGGTGGGGGTCTGTTTCTGCTGGCTCTTTTCTCTTTTGACTAAGTGGTAACATTTTCTTATTTCTTCACATGTTTAGTAATTTGTGGTTTTATAGTGGATTTGGGGGACAGAACATTGTAGAGACTCTAAATTCTGTTATCTTCCTCTGAAGAGTGTTGATAGTTTTGGGTGGCCTCACTGTCCAGATTGTTTGCCTCTGATGTAAGTAACAGTTTAAATCTCAGCTGAGTTCTTTCGGACTTCCAAGTGCTGGTTCTCAGCAGTCTCCCACCTTCTCTCCTGCATGTGTAATTTAGGGGTCAACAAGGATTTGGGCAGAGTTCACACATATATTGATGTTTTTCCCCCTGTTGCTCCTTCCTTACAGGATTTTCCTGTTCTTTTTCCAGCCCCCTTCCAATTCCCTTGTCTGATTCTGCTGGTCAGTAAAACGCAGTTTTCTGCTTAAGGTCTAATTACCCTGCCTAGCTTAGACCGTGGGTGCCACTGGTTGTACAAAGCCACAAACGCAGTTCTCATCCAATACGTTTTCTCTCTTACAAAGGTTGATTTCCATTTTTATTTGTTTTTGGTATCAACTATTTTCAGGTAGTTGATTTTATTATATTTTCAAATAGTTGATTTTATTACGTTCAGAGGCTATCCTTTTTATCCAAAGGAAGTTTTGCCTAATAAAGGCTATACTCAAAGGCAGAACTTCTTTTCTGTTTTACTTGTGTATTCTTTTGCTAATTGCATAATGCTTTCATTGTTGAGGATTTAATGCGTTTCAGAATTTGGTAGGGCCAGTCTCTACTCTTCTTTGTCAGAGTTTTCCTGATCATTCTTGTTTATTTTGGTATGTTATTTTTGGAATAATTTTGTCTGGGTTAAAAACTTATTAACATTTAATTTAGATTGCATTGATTATATAAATTGGGCAGAATTGATGTCACTATGGTGTTGTCTTTGTAGGAAGATGTATTTTTCTTTGTTCAGTTTACTTTTGTGTTCTTTGATAATTAAAATGTTACTTTTGTAGTTTTGACACATTTATAGTTACATTATTCCTAGATGCTTTGTATATTTTATTATAAATTAATTCGTTTTAAAAATATTTTTTCCTATATAACCAAGCAAAAATTTTACTAACTAGAAGTAAATTTATTTTCAAATAAACTTCCCAATTTTGTGAGAGAGATATAAAAGTGGATAGAATTGAGGCTTAATACCCTATGATGGCAATTGGAAAGTATCAGAGTTAAAGTTGGGATTTAGGTCTGTTTGCCTCTAAACTGATTGCATGTTTTTAACAAAGCTTGAATAAAGCACAACTTTAGTTCTTCATGCCCTTTTAGATTCTGGTTCTTGTGTCAGTGCCAGAGTTATTGGAGTGAAATGTTCAGCCTGGTCTTCATAAGAGCAGAATAGCCCTTTGGTCTGATCTTTTGTTAATTACCTTTCTTGAATTATTGTCCAAGAAAGAAGAGTAAGTTGTATCCTGTTCCTTCTGAGGTTTAAATTTAGATTCATAAGACTCTACACTTTAGTTGCTTTTATTGTAATTTAAACTACATGGTGCTATATTGTTCCAATAGCTATTTGACAACTATCTTAAATAAAAGAACCATTTATTTTATGGTTTTTTAGTCAGTATACATTTAGGGGTCGGGGGAAGAAAAGTTCTAAATTATCTTCCAGCTTTTGGGCTTTTTCTGTCTTGCAGCTTGGGAAATGAAAGATAGATGTCTGCAGCCTAAGAACCCAGAGAATCTTTAAAATATCTCAAGGTGCTGGAGAGTGTCCAAAAATACATTTTCTTAAACTGTCTAGAATTACAGTTACTGTAGCCCCAAAGCATGGCATGAGATGTTTCTGCATCCCAGTGGTTATGCAAGAGGCCCAGCACCCCACGTGATGGATGTGTGCTGCCCAGCTACAGGAAGACAGCACTTTTCACTATTGCCTTTGAAGTGTTCATTAGTAGTGTGTACATCTGGAATTTAATTACCTTTTTTGACTCTAATTTTTTGAAGTAAAACTTAGGACCTGAGACACTTTGGTGGTCAAGAGTTCATTCTAGACAGCTTTTAAGCTCCTCTTCTTCCCTTCTCCCCTGGATGAGAAGTTACTGTGAAATGCAATAGTAACAGGGGAAACAGGGAAAATTATCTCTAGACTGCCCAGGTTCTGAAAAGGAATGTGGGAGAAAAATGTTGAGCTCTTTTTGCTCTGTGGCTTTCGGGTATACTGATTAAAAAACAACAACAAAAAACTAGATACAACAAATTTTTCATATTCATACTATCTTTTAAGAATTTGGTGCTTTCACATATCTTTAGTCCTTATAGAAATTTCTTAAAACTTTTAAGATGGTATGCTACATTAGAATGATTTCACAATCTACTTCCTTGTCCTTTGTTGTGATAAAAGACCAATAATTTCTGTAAAACTGAATATATAAGTATTTCAAATAACTTGAACATCTTAACTGTAGATATATGTCTGTTTTAATTGGAATTTTTCCTGTATTTAAAATATGAGTTGACATTTGTGTTTAGATAAGTTTTTTTAAAAACTGGATTATAAAATAAAGCACTGTTAGTAAGGCTAATGACATAGGTATTAGATCTTTTGTTGTGAGTAGAGGAAATTGAAAAGGACATTATAGGTATGATTTCATTAAGCTAGAGAGCATTGGTGTTCACATTTTAAAAACATAATCATAACTTATCTGGAGTCACATGTTCCATTTTATTGGCTTCCTTCATATAGAAAATATAGAAATCAGTACTAAATGCCTGTGAAAACATGAAGCAATGTATATTTTCTCAGTGAAGGAAGTATTCTGTACATTTTTCATGTTTTACATCATGGTATTTTGAATAACCATGCTTCCATGTTCACATCAATTTTTTGTTTTTCAATTTATGCACAGCACTTGCTCTGAAATTTGGGGACTGAGTACACCAAATACGATAGATCAGTGGGATACAACAGGCCTTTACAGCTTCTCTGAACAAACCAGGTGAATATTCTGCCCTCTGTCAAATCCTAGCAATCTTGTGGGCGGGGGGTATTTGGAAGACCTATAGTGGGGTTGCTTAATATAATTTTGCCTAGGATGTTACCTTAATGTAAAATAAGGCATAGCATTTAAAATACCTGCTTGCCGATATTAAAAGTATTATTAAATGTTTCAGCTGAAGTTTTGATCAATGAAATTCTAATTTTGAATCTTTAAATTATTGAATCCCCTAAAGAATAGAAACTCTGATAACTATATTCTCATTTCAGTTTGAGATCTGTTGTTGGCCTAATTTTTAAATAGATACATAACCAGGTTTGCTACATTTCTTGTATACTAATCTCATCTGTATACTAATAAATACATAGTTGATTACTGAACACAACACAAGGCTAACTTGTTTTTTTATCTTTTTTTAATCACCTCATTCTCTTTTTAAACATATTGGTATTTGTCCATTTCATCTCATCATACTCATCACCATCTGCATTTATGTGTGAGCTATAGAAATAATACCTCCCCGTACTCAATACAATCACAATTGGGTAATGAGTTACATTAGTTTGAGTAAGTTTTATATCATTGTTGGTATTGACCATTCTTCACAGTAGTTCCTTTTTTGATAATTCAGTCACCTACAGAATTAATGCCCCTAAAAGAATCCCTAAATAACAGTTTGATTTATTAAAGATAAAAGTTGACTAAGTTTTTCAAGTGTAACTATATAATACACTTAAAAATCTAGTTTTCCCAAATGGTTATCCACTCACTGACACTGAAGTCATTTGTGTAACATGTTTTAAGAAACATCTGCTAGAGCTGCTGCTTTCTTTTATATCAGATCCATAAAATACCTTAAATTCAGTATATTATTCAGTACATTTTTCTTCCTTGTATTCACTAAAACTAACTGAATGTCTGTCATTTTTTTCTTTATGCTTTTATTGTACTAATTTAGTCCATTTGACTATTTCTGTTTTTTTAAAGCTCCCACCTTTCTTTTCCCCTTGCTTCCCAATAGGTCTCTTGATGGTCGTCTTCAGGTATCTCATCGGAAAGGACTGCCACACGTTATATATTGCCGATTATGGCGCTGGCCTGATCTTCATAGTCATCATGAACTCAAAGCAATTGAAAACTGCGAATATGCTTTTAATCTTAAAAAGGATGAAGTATGTGTAAACCCTTACCACTACCAGAGAGTTGAGACACCAGGTAGGAAAAGTAGATTTTTTTTAAAAAATTAAATGCTTGAACTTAAGTATATAAGGTGTTCATTATCTCTAGTTGACCCAGGAAAATTTTGGTGTAAGATTCTAATAAATTACCTTAAATTCAGTATATTATTTGGTGGTCATTAAAAATACTTTACAATTAAAAAAAATATTTTATCGAAAATATAACTTAGTGGAAAAGATGGTTTCTTGGAATTGCATCTTAGTTCACATCGAAGTATAGGAAATTCCAGTCTGCTTAGAAATAAGCTGATGAATCTGTTTACCTGTCTGCTGCATTAACTGTTTTCATTTTGCTCTCTGGGGTTTTTTTGGGGGTTTTTTTTTTAAGGAATTTCAATGACGTTATTCCTAGCTAAGCAATTTAGTAAAACTCATAGAAAGACTTACCTTTACTTAGCTGTGAACTTGAAACGTTTTAAGACTATAGCTGTATTTTTAGAAAATTTGATTTTATAAATCTTTTTGCAACCTTTCTAATGGGGATTTTTTAACTTTTCATGGTAATATAATATTACCAGGATCACCTAGTACCGAAAAGTACAAGATAAATTGGGTCTTGGAAATTATTGTGAACTATATGGTAAGTTAAAATCATAATCAGATTTGTCAATTTAATAACTTGTATAATACCAAATAGGTGGACCCTAAATTTTAAAAATTAAGCAGGCTACTTTCTTTTTTTGTGTGTGAAAACTTTTAATAAAGGTCCTGTTCCCTACCCCTTGCTCCTTGCCATTAACTTGGATTGTTTTTACTTTTTAGTTTTGCCTCCTGTGTTAGTACCACGGCACACTGAGATCCTAACAGAACTACCGCCTCTGGATGATTATACCCACTCCATCCCAGAAAACACTAATTTCCCAGCGGGAATTGAGCCACAGAGTAATTACATTCCAGGTATTTTGCTTTCTGAATCTCCTAAAATTGGGATAGATACAAATTTTATTCATAAACTTTCAAGTATTAGTAAGCTGTGGTTTGACTTTTTAAAAAATTCTTTTGGATTTTAAATAGAAAAATATGATCTATTGGGTGATTATTTTTTGTGAAATGTATAAACCTAGTACATTAAACATTTTTGTCTGGAGAAAAGTTTTACTTTATATTTCATTTTCTTTTGCAGTGGCTTTAATCAAAGTACTCTGAGAAGCAGAAAAGAAAAGATCTTAGTAAGTTTATCTTAGTTGTTGAAGCTAAGAGAGATATAGAATGTAAGCAAAATAAATGATACAGGAAAAAACTATTCCTGAAACAAATGTAATTAAAAATTGACCAAATAATTACTTTCATAGATAATGTTTAAGAGAGGTGTAACATTTCTGTGGGAGATGAAGTATTTTAGTTCTTTTTAATCTGGGCCTCAGTAACTTCTGCCTTAATTATTGTATTATGGGATCTAACAACATATTCCATGATACGGTAGCTGCCTACCCTTAAATTTTCACAATTTTTTAGGAGAACTACTAATGTTTTCTTACTTTTCTGCCCCTCCCCTTTTTAGCAGAAACTAAAGGTATACTAGGATGAAGATTAAGCTATACATTGGATTTTTTGGTGTTAATTTTTTTCTTTTTGCAATATTCCTCTATCCCACTCTTATTTTTTTATACAACTGAAAATATGTAAGGAACTTAGATTTTCAAGCACATAAAACATTTCTTTAATGTGTTTCATCATGAAGATAATGCCTGTTCATTGAAGACAATTTTTAAGACATAAGGATTTTTCCAAATAGTTAATTTTAAAGTTAGAAAGTATCTTCTGATTGTTTAAATGTGCATTTCTTTAATTACTATTTTATTACAAAATAGGAATTTAAGACTGCTCTTTGGGTTGCTAGGAAACAAACTTTTTAAGTTAGGAAGTAGTGATGAGTGGAATGCAGTATGAGGGCTAGGATGATGGGGAAAATAGGACTAAAACAGGACATTTCCTAGAGAGAATTTGCTGAAACTAGAGTTGTGTGTGTGGCATGAGGAGAGGGAGAGCCATTTTAAGTCTTTGAAGTGGGACTTAGCAATATTAGGAAACTGAGGTACCAGTAAGCATACACTCTTACAAGACCATGTACCCAATAATTATTTGGAAGGATGTTAATCAAAATGCTTAGTGGCTTTCATTTGTGGAGATGTTTGGACTTGTGTTTTCTTTATTTGTTTAGATTTGGGTATTTTACAAAGAAGGAAATAAAAAATGAAATGTACCTATTTGTGTTTTTTTGGACAGTGGGGTTTACCCAGCTCTGACTGATAGTAAAACCTAAGGTTTCGCTTTTTATTCCATTTCTAAAGAAAATTTAATATTTTCTCCAAAATGCTAATGACTTTATTATTATTTTACAGATAAAAATGGTGAAGAATAAACTAGGATAAAGTATTTAAAAGTATTTCTACTTAAAATTTGAGACATAGGCAGTTAGACTAGCAAAGCTTAACTCTGTTTAATTTTATCACCTTTAACCTTTGAAATAGTGCATAATGGTTATATATTACTCTTTCATATTCTTCGTTGTTTGAACATATGAAGGTATTCTTAGAATTTCAGTATTAAAAATTTTGGGGTATTGACACTTAAGAGTTTGATATTAAGGAGTTAAAATTTGTAGTTAGCTTATTGGAGGGAGATTGAAAAGGTTAATGAAGAGCCCTAGGCGGTTTAGCTTAGTGGATAGAGTGTCGGCCTGTGGACTGAAGGGTTCCAGGTTCGATTCCGGTCAAGGGCACATACCCAGGTTATGGGCTCGATCCCCAGGAGGGGGTGTGCAGATGGCAGCCAATCAGTGATTCTCTCTCATCATTGATGTTTCTATCTCTCCCTCTCCCTCTCTGAAATCAATACAAATATTTAAAAAAAAAAAAAAAAGATTAATGAAGGAAACCATTAACCCTCTTCTCTCTCCTCCTTGTGTAATTACAGAATTCTTTTAAAGTATGTGTCTGCATTATTTGAATTGCTTAAAACTTCCAGCAATGTATATATTAAACTGTTGATAATCATTTAAACTTATTTTTCATTCGAAATTGTAATTGTTAAAATTGTATAAATGTTTTTATTTTACATGAAGCTTATTCAGGTATTCATATGCCTCCTGAATAAACATATTGGAAATGGCACACTGGAATCTTATTTATTTTCAGGGAGTATTTTGCCTCCGTTTTGTGCAGTAATCTGTATTTGAATTTAATTTTCTGCTTTAATATTCAGGAATTACTGCTTAGAAATCTTTGGAAAAATACACTTTTTGGTAGAATTCAAGACCAGTCCTGAAATATATTACCATATTTTGCCCTATAAAACTTAGTGGAAGATGTAAGCCTGTATTATTCTATAATCTGAAATTGTGTGTGTGTGTGTGTGTGTGTGTGTGTGTGTGTGTGTGGGTGGTGAGGCTGAGGGGCAAGGGGGGGATTCCTTTAGTCATCTAAATACTCATCCATGGTGGCCATTAGTTTTTAAAAAAAAGCAAAACACATTGTAGGTACTAATGTCTTTGAAATATACTGATCCAGAACTGAGGTATCTTTGAAGTTATATTTTTGGCTCTTGCCCCAGAAAATATACATAAGAGAATGAGCCAGATATGTAAATAATAGTTAAGAAAATATGCCCAAAAAGCTCAATTGTATTTCAAGTAGGCTTTAAGGTTTTGCCTACAAGGTTTGGACCAGAGCCTGAATTCTAAGTTCTTAGTATCCAATACTGCTTTTTATAATGATGTTATATAACATTTATGTTTGTTAATCAGAGCATTTCGTTGGGTTATCTTTGGTAGCTGGGAGAAAAGGTGAGATTAAATTGTAACTGTACTTGATTTGTTCTAAATTTCTGTAGAAACACCACCTCCTGGATATATCAGTGAAGATGGAGAAACAAGTGATCAACAGTTGAACCAAAGTATGGATACAGGTAAAAAAAAAAATCTTTCAAAATACCTTAGCAATTAGATAACCAGTTTTGCCTCATTTGAAACTCACATGAGTTATTCATAACTCTTAAATTTAGAGAAGTTGGGACACATCAAAAAAAACTTTTATCTTGAATTAATTATATTTGAGCCATCAAAGGGCCCTGTTGTCCATGAAAAATTAACATATGCTGCTCAGCAGAATAATTGGTAAAATTTTTTCTTGTTAGAGTAAAAATTTGAGAACACTCGGTTATTTCTCTTTGTAAATATTCTGTGATTCTGTTGAAAGTTTTAGTTATCCTGTGATTAAATATATCTGTGATGAAAGCTCATAATTAGCCCAATAACAGATTTTCAGAGGAAATTGGAAGTAAGGGATGTGACTCATCTTTCAGTGCTCTTTTAACATAAGAGTGAGTTCTGAATTATAGTAGACTGTTTACAAAAGTATCTTGTACCTCACCTAATGAAATTACTTTCTAATTAATTTAGCTATCGATTCCAAACACAATGGAGAATACGTTTCAATATATAATAAATATTATACACCTCAAAGCTTTAAAACAGCTGTTATGTAATAATGTATAATCCACCAGAACTAATAGGTTGCTAGTGAAACAGATGTCATTGTAATTGTCTGTTTTGATCCATTTCAACCTGTCAGTATCTTAAGGATTGGACACCTTAAAATTACAACCTGACAAATTTCTACAGTTTATAGTAAAGCATTCTGCAGTATGATCATCTAAGTTATTCTTAAATGAATTAACATTGGCAGTGGGGGGAAGTTGGGGTGGGCAGGCTTTTACAATAATTCTATTGTTTAAATCCTTCCATTATTTAGACTTCCAGGTAAGGAAGCTTCTACTCTAATCATACTTACAGGTGTTCAGAGTAGTAGATAACCAAGAAAGATAGATAATCTAATGATTATTGGAAATGCAAATGTCTTTCTGCAAATGATATTTGGCTTTCCAAATGTATCTTTCTAACCACCTGTATATCGAAGAATTGTATTCCTGAATCAACCATGTTCCTGTTTGCCCCATGATGGTCAACTGCTACTCTACATTCAAAAGTGAATGCCATCAGGGAAACACAAATGAAAGCCAGTGGCATACCACTTCACACCTACTGGAATCTATATATATATATATAAAAGGCTAAGTGACCTACCGACCGGCCGGTAGCTATGATGTGCACTGACCAGTAGGGAGCAGACACTCAATGCAGGAACATCTCAACATAGGGGTGATGCACCTTGAACCAGAGAGGAGGGAGCCCATTTCCAGGGTGCGTCACCTGAGAACCACCCTCTCGCCATCTGGGACCCCTCAGGGGATGTTGCAGAGGTGGTTTTGGCCCAATCCTTGCAGGCCAGGCCAAGGGACCCCACCTGTGCACTAATCTATGCACTGGGCCTCTAGTGGTCATAATAAAAAGAGAAGGATGATAACAAGTGTTGATGGGGATATGGAGAAGTTGGAGTCTTCATATGGTTCTGGTGGAAGTATAAAATAGTTCAGTTGCTTTGGAAAAATTTGCTGTTCCTCAAAAATTAAATTATAGAATAACAATATAACCTAGCAAGCTCACTCCTAGATATGTACCCAAGAAAATTGAAAAGTAATTTTGTACACACCCATGGTAAACTTGTATCCCAAGTGTTCATGTAAAAGTGGAAGCAACCCAATTTTCCATCAAATAATGAATGGATAAATTAAGTCCATACATTGGACTATTGTTCAACCATATAAAGGAATGAAGTACTGATCCATGGTACAACATGGAAGAACCTTGAAAGCATTAAGTGAAAGAACCCAGACACAAAAGACCACAAGGATTCCAATTGGTGTACAAATGCCTATTTTATAATATAGCTGAAATGTGTGTGGCAAGAACAATAAGATGAATATACACTAGTCCTTCCATATCTGCAGGGAATATGTTACAAGACCCCCTAATGGATGCCTGAAATAGTGGATGATACAGAGCCCTATATATACTACTAGAGGCCCAGTGCACGAAAATTGTGCACTTGAGGGGGTCCCTCAACCCAGCCTGTGCCCTCTTGCAGTCCAGGAGCCCTCAGGGAATGTCTGACTGCCAGCTTAGGCCTGCTCCATGGGAAGCGGGCCTAAGCCGGCAGTCAGACATCCTTAGTGCTGCTGAGGAGGTGGGAGAGGCTCCCACCATAGCCGCTGCACTCGCTGGCCATGAGCCTGGCTTCTGGCTGAGTGGCGCTCCCCCTGTGGGAGTGCACTGACCACCAGGGAGCAGCTCCTGCGTTGAGCATCTGCCCCCTGGTGGTCACTGCGCATCATAGTTACCGATTGTTCCGCCATTTGGTCGATTTGCATATTAGTCTTTTATTATATGGGATGTTTTTTTCCTATACATACATACCTAGGATAAAGTTTAATTTGTAAATTAGGCACAGTAAAAGATTAACGACAATCCTATATAATAAAAGAGAAACATGTAAATTGACCATCCCTCTGCTACGCTCACCAGCCAAACAGGAGTGAGTATGCAAATTAACCCAACAAAGCTGGCGGGTTAATTTGCATACACAGGCGCCGGGCGGAGAGCAGAGAGGGAGAGCTTGTCAGAGTGGGAGGCCATGGGACGGAGACAGAGCAGAAAGGGAAAACCAAGATCATGGGGAGCACCAGGAATTCTGGGAATAGTAGTTTTGGTGGCAGACGGATCTCCTAGACCAGCCGTGGGCAAACTACGGCCCGTGGGCCGGATCCGGCCCGTTTGAAATGAATAAAACTAAAAAAAAAAAAGACCGTACCCTTTTATGTAATGATGTTTACTTTGAATTTATATTAGTTCACACAAACACTCCATCCATGTTTTTGTTCCGGCCCTCCGGTCCAGTTTAAGAACCCATTGTGGCCCTCGAGTCAAAAAGTTTGCCCACCCCTGTCCTAGACACTAGAGCAAAGTGAGCCTGGAGCAAGTTACTGTTGTGATGGGGAATGGAGGGAAAGCAAAGGTGAGAGACATAAGTAAAATCAGAGTGTCTAGGAAAAATTAAAGGGAAGATATCCTAAAACTTCCAGGAAATCTCCACCAGTGAAGCAAAGAAAAAAAAAATGCCTCTATTATTCTGTGAGCAACAAACCAAACTGATTTGGGGTCTCAGACAATTTGCTCATATGATTGCAAAGGCAGACAGAAACTCCCGGATTGGAGAGGGCTCCCCTGAGGGCTTCCAGATTGGAGATGTTGCAGGTCAGGCTGAGAGACCCCCACACGTCTCAGTGCACGAATGTTGTGCACCGGGCCTCTAGTATAAAGTAGAACAATTATAACAATATCCTGTAATAAAAATTATCTGAATGTGGTCTCTCTTCAAAATATCTTACTGTACTCACCTTTTCACTTAAAGGAAGCACTTTATGACTTCTCTTTGGTTGATCAGTATTCTTGTGTTTAGGGCCATTTTTAAGTAATCGTTACTTAAACACCAGCACTGCAATTCCACAACAGTCCATTTGATAACCTAGGCAGCTACTAAGTGACTAATGGGTGGGTAGCGTCTATAGTGTGAATATGCTGGGCAGAGGGATGCTTCATATCTACAGGTAACTGAAACCACGGAAAGTGAAACCGTGAATTAGGGAACTACCGCACATATTTCTGCTCTTCATTCCTTTGCGTAGACGTTTGTCTAGTTGTGTTAGTACCATTTGTTGGAGACTTTATTTTTCTGTTGATTTACCTTGGATTCTTTGGTGAAAATCAAGTGATAATGTGTGTGTGGGTCTAACTTATGGTCTGCTGTTAAACCAAAATAGTGAATTCATTTTAGATCATCTTATTTTTCAGTTTCACAATTTTCATTTAAACTTTTTTGTTGTTGTTATTAATCCTCACCTGAGAATATTTTCTCCATGGATTTTCAGAAAGTGGGAGGGAAGGATAGAGACAGAGAGAGAAACATTGATACGAGAGAGACACATTGATTGGTTGTCTCCCACATGAGCTCCAACCAGGGCCAGAATGGAGCCCTCGACTCTTCAGTCTGTAGGCCAACGCTCTATCCAGTGAGCCAAACTGGCTAGGGATTCATTTAAACTCTTAATCTGATAATTTCAGTATCTGATTTATATATAGGTCTGCTTCTGGATCATTTTTTTTCTACTTTGCATTCTCATTTTTTTTGATTGGATGGTGGGTATTGTGAATAAGATAATACTAGAGAGTAACATAGAACTGGCATACAATGATACATGCACAAGCATTTCTGTAGATGTTTTAGCTAAAAGTAACAGAAACTGATGATTCAAACCAATGAAATAGGATATTTTTTTATTTCTCATAATAGGAAATTCCAGACCTTAGTAACAGTATGTATATATGAATAACTAGTAGGTTAATTGTCAGTTAACCTGTTTGTAAAAATGTTTCAAACAACTTTGGTTAGTTAATAAATTGTTACCTTAATTGAACTTTTAAAAACTTTATATATATGTATATATCTATATATGTATGATTATAATGAACCTTTCTTTTTGTAATTCCTAAATTCTTTATATCACATCTGAGTGAACTCCTATTAGTCTAAATTAATGAACTGTAACTACTGGTCATTTCTGATAAGTATTTAAAAAGTTAAAAATTGGGCAGTTTCCTCCATGTCTAATAGTGGCTTTGTTTATTTTATAACAGCTTCAGGAAACAGCAGTGAGTTTTATTTTATTGTTCTAAATATATTTTGACCTTTCTTAGTTGTACCTGCTGGGACTTGCCAACAGATTTTTCAAAACGAGGAACAAAAAAAGAACCTGAGAACTTAATTTTGTCATGGAAGACTGTTCTCTTCTAATTCTAAAAATTAATTATCATCTGTTCTCTTTTTTATTCATCTGTTTTTTTGTTGTTGTTGTTTGTTTTTTATTGGGGTTACCATTTTACTTGTGCTGCCCGGTATTTTGTGTCATGGTTATAATAGTGTGGGGAGGAGAGGTACACAAGGAGGTCTGACCTGTCTTATTCTACATTTATGCCATTGCTATATATGTGAAGCTTGGGAGCTGTTGGTCATGTTTTTTTTACATAACTTTTCCAATAGGTATAGAAAATGATGATCAGAAAACAAAATTTATAATCCTATATAATAAAAGCCTAATATGCTAAGTGTCCGGTCAGCCGTTCAACCAATCAGAGCATAATATGCTAAGGCCGCTCAACCACTCGCTATGATGTGCACTGACCACCAGGGGGTAGACACTCTGAACTGTAGGTTAGCTTGCTGCTGGGGTCTGGCCTATCGGGACTGAGTGAGACGGGCCGGACATGCCCTGGAGCCCTCCCACAGTCCCTCCCCAGCTGGCCAACCTCCCGTGTCCCTCCCTGGCCCTGATGGTGCACCAGTGGGGTCCCTCAGCCTGGCCTGTGCCCTCTCACAATCCAGGACCCTTCGGGGGATGTCGGAGAGCCAGTTTCGGCCCAATCCTGCAGGCCAGGCCGAGGGACCCCAATAGTGCACAAATTTCATGCACCGGGCCTCTAGTTATATATAACTATTGAACAAATTTACAACAAATGTATTTAAATTAGTTGTGTGGTATTGAGTGGTTTTGTTTTGGGGTTTTTTTTTGGTTTTTTGCTTTTTTTCTTCTGTGTCTGCAGTTCTACCTTCTTTTTCTTATTTTGTATATCTGTGCCCTCTCCCCATATGTTCTTGATTAGAGTAAGCTTGCTTACCTAGAACTGGAAGACATGAGTAATTTTCTAAGAAAATATAACCTACCAAACTGACTCCAAAAAATAGAGCTATCAACTATCATAGAAGAAATAGAGAAATGTCTTAGAATAAACCCTAGAAAATGTTTAACTGCAAACAATCTGACACAGAATCTCTATCAAACTACTAAGGAATGTGTTATTAAAATGCTCTTTAAACTGTTACAGAACATAAGAAAGGCGTACAGCTTCTAGATTATAATTATGAAGTAGCATAATATTGCACTTGCAATGTAAATCTGCAGACCAGTATTGCTTGGAAGTATTGATCTAAAAATCCTAAATAAGCAATGTTATCTCTCTCATTATCAAAGCCAGCATTATACTTAATGGGAAAATACTAGAAGTATTCTCTTAAAGTTAAGAGTAAAACAAGAATATCCATTGTTACCACTGTTTTACCAAAGTGTGATACATCTCAAAATGCTTGATAAGTTATATCACATAAGGTTTTTTTAATACTGCTTAATCAGAATTAGGATGAAGAGTCATAAAACAATCAAATATTTGCAACTCATAGCATGGAAGGGCTAACTAAGATGCCTAATACATAAAGAGCCTTCTATAGGTCAGTAAGAAAAGTGATTAGAACCACAATAGAGAAAAGAACAAAGGAAAAGAACAGACCATTCACAAAAAGGAAATACAATATAAATAAGTATAAAGCTACTCAATGTCATTTATAAGAGAAACACAGATTAAAACTATACTTTTTAAGACCATGTTCTTATCTATTAACAATAACATGAGCGTCCCCTCACCATTTGTTGTTACCGGGAATGCGAACCAGTACAAGCTCTATAGGTGACAATTTTGGCAAAATCTATCAAAATGATAGAACCACAGCCCTTTGACCTGGCAGTTCCTCTTTTAAGAGTCTGTCCTTCAGGTGTAATTGAAAGTATGAAAAATGTGCAAATTAGTCATTGCAATCTTTTAATTTTTTAAAAGCAAAGTTAACTATATTACATTTGTATATAAAGAACAGGGGACACAGAAGAGGATATATTTACTTATTTGATACATAGATTATTTTTGGAAAAATACACTGGATGCCTTTGGGAAGGGGAACTCTGTGACTAGAAGCTAGGACTGTTTTACGCCTTTTTTACCTTTTATATATTGAAGTCTCCAAAATTACACTAACATGAAGCAGCTGTATATCTTTTTAAATTTATATTTATTGATTTTTAGAGAGAGAAAGAAACATTGATTTGTCGTTCCACTTATTTATGAATTAATTGGTTGATTCCTGTATGTACACTGACCAGGGATCGAACCCATAACCTTAGCCTATCAGGGCAATACTTTAACCAGCTGAGCTACCCTACCAGAACCAAGCAGCTGTATATTTATAATGCTTGGGATGTAAATTATTTATTATTTGTGATGCTTAATTATAATCTATTTTATTATTTGGTCAGAAGTTCTGGAAATACTTTCATATCTGTTTTTAAATTAACTTCTTTTATTTCAGGATCCCCAGCAGAACTATCTCCTACTACTCTTTCCCCTGTTAATCATAGTTTGGGTAAGTTGCAAATATTTTCCCTCCACTGTTTTATACTGTATTATTAAAATGTCCTCTTTGGTCATTATTCTATATATGAGAACGGGAGCCCATAAATAACCGAGTAATTATTCAAGTTAGTGCTTTTTAAAAATGATACTGGTAATGTGCCTCAATATTACTAAACCGCTTTTCTACTGGCACATATAAGAAATTATAATCTGTTTATTCATGGAAACCATATTCTTTAGTCACAGTAAATTTTATGACATTACGACTAGATATTTGTGGGTATGTTATTTTATGATATATATTATAATAGCAATTATTAATATAAGAGGTAAATATGTGTACACATACCACAAATATGTGGTTTGGGGGCTGTATGAGAGCTAGTGTGTGCACGTGTGTGTACGTGTGTGTGTATAAGTATTCTGTAGTTTATTTTTTGACTATTTTATCTTGCTATTTCACAATTTCTCTTCATTTGACACATTTGGAATTTATTCTATAAAAATGGTCATTTTTTAAATGATATTCCTTGTGATGGTTTATAATCAAAATTATAGAACTTAAATACATGTGAGCCTAGTTTTCCCATGCAATATATAGATTCTTTTGAATCCATGTTCTGTTTCTACTTGCACATTCTTTGTATTTATTTACTTTTGTGTGTGTGTGTGTGTGTGTGTGTGTGTGTGTGTAAGGGGGTGCTTTATATTTTTGTAATTAGGGTAACCCCTGAAGATCTGATATTAAAATAGACAAATGTCAAAAGTATGTCATTTTGTATCCTATTATTGTGACATTTTTCCTTCTTGTGGCCATAGACTATATTAATTCTTGCTCCAGCTTTATTCCACTTAATTCTACCAAAAATTAGCTTTATTAAGTTTGAAGACTGGATGACTTAATGAGATGGGGGAAATTGAAAAATTGAAAATCTGATATGATCTACGGAAACTGGAGTTCATGACGTAGAAGTTAGATCTACTTCCTGAGCTTTTGCCAGGATAGGCTGGCATAGAGCATGTAAAGATGATAATACTCAGTCTGTTCTTGGCTTGAATTGTTCACACAACATTTCTTACTCTTATGGGTTTGGTTTCCTCTGCCCTAGACTTGCAGCCAGTTACATACTCAGAACCTGCATTTTGGTGTTCAATAGCCTATTATGAATTAAACCAGAGGGTTGGAGAGACCTTCCATGCATCACAGCCCTCACTTACCGTAGACGGCTTCACAGATCCATCAAATTCAGAGAGATTCTGCTTAGGTTTACTTTCCAACGTCAACCGAAATGCTACAGTAGAAATGACAAGAAGACATATAGGTATGTTTGGTTTTTTTCCCTGTGTGAAAAACCAATGCCATATACTCATAATGTGAGCATTATGTGGTTTACCACATCAAACGATTGTGTGCAGAAAAGCCTGCCTTGTCTCTGTCAGTTTAAGTGCACAGCTTCACTGCTTTTAATAAATCCTGGTGATCCTTCCATCTACAAACTCTATGACTTCTCTTTATTTGGCGTCTTTGATACTGGGAGATCCTTCAATAAATAGGTGTTAAAATAACTTTGCTGAGTCTCTACCAATCATAAAATTGTCATGATCATATTTTTTTAACAAATGATGAATTTTTTTTCAGTTCATTTACATCTCCTAGTTTCTCCCTTCAGTGAGTTCATGTGTTAAATATCACTTTTAATCTGAAGCAAGATATGTAAAACAAGAACTATTATTTCATGAACTTCAAAAAATAATCCACAAAGTATCTCAAAATGTGGTAGTCCGAACAACCTTTCAGCAAGTTCGTGAGGTCAAAACTATTTTCATTAATGGTACTAGGATGCTATTTGCCTTTTCCACTGCCATCTCTCACACAGTGAAGTATTCAGAGGCTAGATGGCATATGAGCTTGCAAGAAATTAAATGTACATTAAAGAGAATCCAACGCTCTTCTGTTAAATTAGTCATTAAAGAGATTTGCAAAAATACATTGGTACTCTGAGAACTAATTTTTTTTTTTACTTTGGAAAGGTTTTTTATTTATTTATAAACCTGCTATTTATGTTAACATGTTGAGGGGTGTTTTTTTTTTATTTTAAGTGAATACATTTTTTAAATCCTAGTTTTAATGTCTAGTATGGTAAGTTTCCATAGATGTAAAACTCTTTGGGGGTCTTCAATATTTCCTTTTTACTGATGTAAAAAAAAAAATGTTTAAACACCACTGATATAACTGAACATAGTTCTTATTACCTTAAAGTAACTTCTTTTAACAATTGTTTTCTTCTGTTTCCATTTGACGAACAGTCACCTCCTATGATAAATGATGCTGATCACTAAAGAGTAAGTGTGATACTGTAGAGCAGCGGTTCTCAACCTGTGGGTCGCGACCCCTTTGGCGGTCGAAGGACCCTTTCACAGGGGTCGCCTAAGACCATCCTGTATATCAGATATTTACATTACGGTTCATAACAGTAGCAACATTACAGTTATGAAGTAGCAATGAAAATATGGTTGGGTCATAACATGAGGGACTGTATTTAAAGGGCCAGAAGGTTGAGAACCACTGCTGTAGAGTATTAGGGATTTAAGAGGTCTCTTATTTGGCTTCATGTGGAATTCCTCAAATCTTGCTTGATTTTTAAAATTTTGCATATCTTGTTAGGGTACCAAGGTGTCTTGTAGGTGAGGAAGGCCTCTGCATATCCACCCTACTTTAAAATATTCTTTTTTTCCTGTGTTTTAATTGGGATTCTGCATAAAAATTTAACAGAAGGTTTTCTGTACCTTATTTCATTTCTGCAAAATTTTAGATTGATATAATTATTGGATTATCTTTTTTTTTTTGACTTCTAGTTTATTAGGTGTTTTTGATCAGAGAATATAGCCTGAAAATATCTTTACTTTTTAGACTTCATGTTTTCCTGATGGTCAAGTAAATGATTATTTTTAAACACATATTCTGTAGTCATAAGAGAACAGGGCACCAGATTTTGTATCTATATATTAAATCTGGCTTGTTGGTTCTTTTATTAGCTTTGTGGGGGAATTTTGTGTGTTTTTTAAATTGTGTAACATACTACCATACACTGACCAGCCTAAAATAACACAAATTTATTATCTCACAGTTTCTGTGGGTCAGAACTCCAGGCATGGCTTAGGAGTCTTCTCAGGGTCTCACTAGGGGAATCAAGGTGTCATCTGAACTGCCTTCTCATCTGGAGCTTGAGGTCCTTGTCCAACCACATGAGTTGCAGAGTTCACTTCCTTGAACTTACAGTACTGAGGTCCTCATTTCCTGCAGACTGTCAGCTAGAGGCTGCTGTCAGCATCTAGAGTCCACCTACATTCCTTGCCAGGTGGACCTGCATTCATAGTCCCCACTGGAAAGTCCCTTGCGTTGACCGTCTCTCACCTTTGAATCACTTTCACCAGGGACAGCCCAATCTCTTTCAAGGGTATCGCCTGATTAAGTCAGGCCCACCAGAAATAAACTCTTGATGACTTTTTTAAAAAAATTTTTTAATTGATTTTAGAGAGAGGAAGAGAGAAACATTGATGTGAGAGAGAAACATTGATTGGTTGCCTCCCATATGTACCCCGACCAGGGACTGAACCAGTGATTTGGTGTGTACAGGACGATGCTCCACCAACTGAGCCACACCAGCCAGGGCTTGATCATTTTTATTACCTTTTTTTCTTAACTTTAGTGGGCTATTTAAAGAAATACTATGTATTATAATGAAGGTCTATTTCTCCAAACATTAGTTAATTCCCTCCAAATTAACTCAATTTCTTTTACTTAATTTTGAAATATATAATTGGTATGAAGTTTTTTATACTACTATCCATATACTTTTCTACATTGTTTAAATAGTTTTGATAAGTATGTATTATTTTTGCAAATCTATAAAATCATTGTTGAGAAATATTTGGGAAAGTATACTGTAGCATGTTTCAAATTAGACTTCAGAAAAGCATAGCTTATGGCAAATGTCATCTAAGTACCTTATATTATTTTAGTATTCCTCCAGGAGACTCTTCCCAAGTCATGCTGAAATAGTAAATGTTATAAAACTAATCCCATATGTATTTTGTTTTAGGAAGAGGAGTGCGCTTATATTACATAGGTGGGGAAGTTTTTGCTGAGTGCCTAAGTGATAGTGCAATCTTTGTGCAGAGCCCCAATTGTAATCAGAGATACGGCTGGCACCCTGCAACAGTGTGTAAAATTCCACCAGGTATGGATACAACAATGTAAATGAACCTATCTTTTCTGGTTGCTGTTAATTTTAGGAATCAGGAGATGATTTTGCATGCTTGTATTCTAATATGTGTAGCCCTTTTAAAGCTATTTTCTTACAACAGTACTCTTTTTATGCAATTTTTTTTTTTTTTTTTACTTTTTCCATCATAGGCTGTAATCTGAAGATCTTCAACAACCAGGAATTTGCTGCTCTTCTGGCTCAGTCTGTGAATCAGGGTTTTGAAGCCGTGTATCAGCTAACTAGAATGTGCACCATAAGAATGAGTTTTGTGAAAGGGTGGGGAGCAGAATACCGGTATGAAATACATATTCAGTTCTTAAATTTCCACATAATTCTTTTTTTACCCCCATTCTTGCACAGTCTGGAGTTCACATGTATTTGTTTTCATTGAGGTTATGGAGTCAGTAGATCTTTATGTGAAATAAAAGAAAGTCGGAGGCCTCTAGATTCAAAATATAGTGAATTTCTGTTGCTGGCATTATAGAAGATAGAATTGAAACATGTATAGACATTCACTGTAACATAATACAGATTGTTAAATACCATAAAAAGGGATATAAAGGAAGGATTATGTCAGTTCATAGAAGGAGGTATGTTTTCACTGGGGCTCAGTGAAGGCTTCTGGTAGAGATGGTCGAGATCATGTACATTCTAAGATGTATAGTATTTTAGTAATCATAGCTATGAGGGCGTGGCAGATGGTGCTTCTGGCAATAAAATAGCAGTTCAATTTGCCTGGAGAATATAGAAAATACAGAAGAAGAAGAAAAAGTCTGGACAAATAAGTTGAGACCACCTGAATATAAAGTTAAGAGTTGGAACTTGATTCAGTAATAGAAGGGGGTACTTGTTAGGTGTCAGGCACTGTGCTTGTTTTAAATGTAGTGTCATGTCTTTCAACATTGCTAAGAATTTCTGTTACTATCTTTTCTTTATGAGGTTGCAGTCTTTGTAAATAAAAAAATGGTTCAGACTAATACTTATTTGGAAATAGACTTAGGAGAGATTTGATCATTTGCCCAAGGACACATTGTAACGGGTGGAGACAGGACTTGAGGGAAGCTCTCCTTGACTCTTACCCTCTTCTCTAAAGATAGTGGTACCAGTTACGTAATTGAGTTTTACAAAAGCACATTTGTCATCAAGAGGTAAGATAGATTACAATAGATTGGATTCCACATCAAAGAAAAGGAAGACTTCATCAGCATATTAAAGAATGGAATTGTAAGTAAAATACTTGATCCTTCTCCAGGTCATATTGCTTACTCTTTGAATGTCTACTTAAGAAGATGATCATATAGTATAGCAATAGAATTCCACAGTTGGGGCCCTTCTTCAGAATTTATTTCATTTCATTTGGACTTGATTTCTGATCTTAAGTAAGTTGTGTGAGGTGGTTAGATTTGAGGTCTTTTGGTTATATACTTCCATAAAAATATATTCTGTGCTGTATATTTATATCCTAGAATGAAGACTTCTCACTATTTTATCCTAGGTATATTAGTAGAATAATTCATTTTGTGACTTTGCTGTAGTTTTCTTTGCTTTAACTATTTCCCTTTTGAGATGTGATACCTCTAAGGACTGCTGAATTCCTTTTTTTCCTTTGGACTTGAATTGATCTGAGTTGATATTAAAATTAGATTCAAATAGTGCTATCTGATATAATGTTTTCAGGTCAGACCTTTTTTTCCCCCTTCAAATATTAGAATATTGCAGAACATGGTAGAAAATCAGTTGAATTAAATATGAACTGAATAGATTAGAGAAATAGATTATAGGTCTCCCACTAAAAGCAGTTTTAATTGGGAGAGAGAGATACTGCCCTGCATTTACTGTGGACTCTGCCATTCTGTAACCCAGAGATCATTTAAAATCTGTAATTATGAGAAGCAATAATATACAGTATGGTTTTATGGGTGTAGAGTCAGGTATATCTACTTGGATAATTACGAAGCTTTCTTGAACATTTACAAATCAAAATACCCATGTATCTGTGAACTGTGGGTAGTTACCAGGAACCTTTTATCTTTAATGACTTTGAATATGAGGAGGTAGTTCTAACGGTTGGACTTCTAAAACGGTTTTTTCATTTCTTTAATGCCAGCTCAATTCCCAGTATAAAGTCAGGAATACATTAAAAAGGAAATATAGATGTGTAAGGAATTTATATTTTGTTGAGAAATAAGTGAACCAGTACTGGAGTAACTAAACAGGTAGGGGGATGAATAATGCCTCAAGTGCAACTTTTTTGCCCAAATAGGTATAGTGACAGTCTTCTTAAACTTATTTCTACCCTTCAGTGACCTAGATGAAGAATTTTTCCTGAAGGTTAAACTAATGTAGTAATGAAATGATCAGACTGAAAACAAACTGGGGAAAAACATCAGACTTCAGCAAAAATCCAGACTTCAGCACATAGCAAAATCAAAATTAAAAGAGATTTTGGCAATATAGCTGCCAAAGGTCTGATCCAGGGGAGAGATGAAAGGCAGGAGAAACTGAAGAACAAAACAAAAAGAGTGAAGGGGAAGATGAGAAAGGGTCAGTCTTGCCTATATCTCATGGATAAGAGGCAATTTGTAAAGTGTGCTTGTGCAATTTTAAGCTGCATAGATACTAGTAGACATAGTTTCTAAATCAAAACAAGGCAATGAGGGTTTGGCTCAGTGGATAGAATGTAGGTCTGTGGACTGAAGGGTCCCAGGTTCGATTCCAGTCAAGGGCACATGCCTGGGTTTTGGGCTGGATCCCCAGTAGGGGGCATTCAGGAGACAGCCGATCAATGATGTTTCTATCATCTCTCTCTCTCCCTTCCTCTCTGAAATCAATAAAATAATAATAATAATAATTAAAAAAGAACAAGGCAATGAGTCTATACAGATCAGATTTGGACTATTGTGTTTTGTGTGTCATATTTTAGGAATGTCTTAGTGTATATCTTAGACTCTGAGACAAAGATTCAAGTGCAAAGAGTTTGTTTAGGAAATGGAGGAAACACTGGTAAGGAAGGAGGAAGTAGGAAGTGAGGTAGGGGAGGGAAGGCAGCCAGTATCATTATTAATCCATCTACTATAGCGGGTGGGTCACTAGTTTATTCCCTGAGGGAAACTTTGGAAAATGGTAAAGAACATTCAGAATTATCCCACACAGAGGGAAAGGAAACAACATTTAAATGCCAATTCCTTTGTCATTGCTTGAAGGCTGCTCCTGGGGGTATTAATTTCCTGGCACTTCTAGTCTGCTACACACGTGGACAGAGCTAAGAAGTTCTCAGGCAGATAAGTGCAGACACCTGCAGTTGGAAGATGTTTAGAGCATCGGTCGCCAACCGTGGTCCGCAGACCAGTGGTGGTCCGTGAGGTCCGAAAGGTTGGCAACCGCTAGTCTAGAGAACACTGAAAAATCTGAAGGGCATAATGGGGCACTAGACCCTCTGCTACAAAAAACCACATCCCTTGAAGTACAGTTTTAATATATTGAGCATGTGTTACTTGGAGGTGAAATGTTGATAATAGCCTTTTCTCTTGTTTGTAGGGCTGTCACAAGCAAGCAGATTTACTGACTTGTATATTAAATAAAACAGCTCAAATCAGTACATGGAAATGACAGGATGTCATTGAACAATTTATGATTCCCAGACAGTAGCCCTTTTTGTTGAAGTAGTAAGGGTGTTTCTTATTAAAAGTCTGCGTGATGTTGCTAAAAGGGATATTATTGGCTTTGTCCAGGAAAGTTGAACTACTATAACTCTTAACATTTTGTGATGAGTTTGGGTCAGAATTTTGTTTTGGTATACTTTAACCCTATGTTATTTAGACTTCATTTGGTATTTGGATATCTTCTATTCTGTAGTTGTTAAATAAGTAGAGTAACTATATATTCCTGTTAGCATGGGGCAGTCCTGGTTTACATCTCTTGCCCTGGCATGATTATTAATAGTGACTACATTCTCTCATAAAGGTGTCCCATTTTGGATGGTAAATAATAAGGTTACCCTACTAATTTTAATTTCAGGGGAAAAGAAGGTTTTTTATAAATCTTTTTAAAAGAAAAATGTCATTGGGAATACTTTGTTAGACTTTGAGGATTAAGCAGTTTTCAAAATAATTAGATAGCCAAACTTGTTCAAAAGAATTTAGGTTTCAGTATATTCAACTTTTTACTTTATCTAAATTCTTATTTCATATAACTAAACATAGTCATGTTCTCTTAACTTCATAATTATTTGCTTGTATTCTCTTAAACAGAAGGCAGACGGTAACAAGCACTCCTTGCTGGATTGAACTTCATCTGAATGGACCTCTGCAGTGGTTGGACAAAGTATTAACTCAGATGGGATCCCCTTCAGTGCGTTGCTCAAGCATGTCATAAAGTTCCATCACCAATCCAGTCCCATCAAAAGACTTACTGTATCAACTCTTCTGTCATAGTATTTGTGTGTGGTCCCCATGGACTGTTTGTATCCAAAAATTCAACCGAGAAAACAGCACTTGAGGTCTCATCAATTAAAGCACCTTGTGGAATCCGTTTCCTATATTCGAATATTAGATGGGAAAATTAGTGTCTAGAAATACCCTCCCATAAAGGAGGAAGAGAAGATTTTAAAGACTTACTAATGTCTTGTTGGGCATAAAATTGAGTGTCCCAAAGGCTTATTAATAACAGTAGTAGTTATGTGTACAGGTAATGTATCATGATCCAGTATCACAGTATTGTGCTGTTTATATACATTTTTAGTTTGCATAAATTAGGTGTGTGTGTGCTGCTTCTTGATTTAGGCAAGCTTTTATAAAGTTACAGTACCTAATCTGTTATTCCCACTTCTCCGTTATTTGTGTGTGTCTTTTTTAATATATAATATATATCAAGATTTTCAAATTATCATTTAGAAGCAGATTTCCCTTGTAGAAAAACTAATTTTTCTGCCTTTTACCAAAAATAAACTCTTGGGGGAAGAAAAGTGGATTAACTTTTGACATCCTTGACCTTAATGTGTTCAGTGAGTCTTAAACATTTGTTCTTGTTGGTTGGTTTGTTTACTGCTAAATTTCTATAACAAAGCCTTGCAGAAAATCTTTTCAAACCTCTTCTCCATTCCTACTTTTGTTCTGATACAAAAACAGAATAGCATGCTATCCGTCGCCAGTAATGGTTGCACTGATAGTGCCAGCACCAGTCGCTTCTGGGGTACAGTAAGAATGCATATGGAGTAAGTTGCTTTGTCTTACACATTTCAACAGATAATACTTGACTTGTGTGACCTAGTAGTCTATTAATTTATCCTTACACCTCATAAAAAATACATAGGTGGCAGTATAATTATTTTCAGGGATATGCTACAATTATTCCATTTGTCCTTTTTTTAAAGCCAATCTATAGATGTAAACACTTTTTTTAAAGGTATTTTAAATGTTTCAACAGCAGACCTAGTGCTCTTTGATTTGAGTTTCACTTGATTTAGTTACCAGATTATTTTATGAATGGATCTTTTGTGAATGTAATTGTACCTGCAGAATACCTAGAAAAGTGATGCTGAGGTGTGGTCAGCAGATAAGGGCCATCTGTTTTTAAAATATGTTGTATTCAATTTAAAAAATCTTTTATTTTACATAATTATTAATGGAATTTTAAAAATTTGGGGAGAAGCAGTTTAGCAACTTTTTAAGCTTATAATCACCTACAGTCTGAGCTGTTCTTAACTAAAACTGAATATATGTTTGTTACTAGAATCAACCACATTTTATGCTCTGCAGTGAGAGGAACAGAAGCTCTGTGGGTAGTTCGTTCTGCAGCAAGTAACTCCCAGGTCTAATGTGAAGTTATTGCTGTTTAAACATTACTTGTTTGCATCTCAATAGAAATGAAAAATAACCACTCCTAGTCCCCTTCTAGTAAATTTTTATATTTTTAGGATAAATATCTTAGGTACTTGTTTTTTGAAACCGTAGTCACCTGTTTCTACAGGTGTCATTTTCAGTACTTTCATCATTTGGTTGTTTTCTGTTAAGTATTCCTCATTTTCCAATATTTGTGTGTACATGCATGTATTCTTGTAAACGTGTAGTAAATTTTTACTCATTCAAATATTTATTGCTCACCTGTTATATGTGCCAGGAACTTTTCTTAGCTTTTGGGTAAAGGTGAACACTATAACCCTTTATCAGCTTTTTTGTCTGTGAAGGAAATAAATAGGGTGATAGAGTACAACAGAGGGAAGTGTTGCTTGCAGTAACACTTGGCGTGAGAAAGGAGCAAATGGGCATTCCTGGCAAAGAGAATGGCATGATATGCAAAGGCTCATTTTAGAGGAAACTCATTAGTTATGAATGCTTTATATGAACACCTCTACACAGATCCGAACTTGAGGATCAGAATGGTTCTACAATTTATAATAGTTGAAGGTGGCCTTACTTTGTGATAGACTTTGTCATTCTCAGTAATATTTCTTCTTTGTCAAGCCCTTGCTGTAAAGTTTGACATTTGTCAGTACCATTTAACAACCCCTTCTTTAAATCGGCCTTGGGCAAGTTTTCACCATTGTAGTGTCTGGCTGCTTGCTTCCAGACTTCTTGCTGCTCACTAATTACTACTTCTACAGGGCATCTTGTGATTTGTGTAAATTCCCAGTTATTACCACCGCAGATCTGCTGGAGATAACAGGGGAGTGTCTGCCCTTTGCAGGTGTTTATTGAGAACTTGGGAGCAGTTCTGGGGGCAGAGAACAACTTTGAAACTGGTGGAGGGCCTTGGCAGTCACTCTTGCATTGGTATGTTAAGTGAAGCAGTGCCAATCACAGTGTCAATATGGAGCTCAGCTCCAGTTGCAATGGAGTTCTGTGCCACCAGAAGCTCTTAGGAGGCACCTGTTGTACTGAGCAGTTCTACCTGTCGAGCAGTTGGCTTCATGGTGGTGACTACATTTTTGTGAATATATTTAATGGTCAGGGTCATGTTTGTTTTTTACTTATAAATTGTTTATTTCTGGAATTTTCCAGACCATGGTTGACCAGGAGTAACTGAAACCACAGAAAGCAAATCAGCAGAAAAGGGGGGACAACTATAGTTAACAGAAAGGCAGAATTATCCCATGTACATTAGTGATACAGATGTTTACCTCCCTAAAGTTTTTTTGAAGATATTGAACCCCAAAAGCATTTGTTTATCTGCTTCTCTTTTTCATATTCAGATAGCCCCCAAATATACAGCAGTTTCCTGGGCTGTTCACAATTCACATTTCTTAGAATATTCTAACCAAAGAGCATCTGCAGTGCCCAAGTAGTAATCCCAACCATCAGCTTTTTCCCATATTTGCTTTTTAATGGAATGCTGTTTTTGCATTCTGTATTGTCTACAGTGGCCTCTTAACATGGACCCTTTCTTTTCCCCCCCCTTTATAGGGACTGTTTTCATTCTTCATGGTGAAATCTCTTCTTTGTTGGCTTTTGTCTTTCTTTAAATTAGCAACATTATTTAGAACTTCTTCACAGTGCTGGTAATTTCTTCAACTCAACAAAGTGAGAATGGAAGGACCATGCTGTCTGTCACATTTAGATGAATGGTCATTTTCACAGTGGATTCAAGTCCATAGAGACACCTTAGGGCTGGCTGGCCTTGGAAATTGGAGGCTGGTGATGTTCCCACTGATCTGGTCTAACCAGTGGCAGTTTCATTTCAGTTCTATATTGGAGTTCTACAGAGATTTGTTAAAAAGTTATATTGCTTAAAAAAAAAGTTTGAAAAGTTTATGCTGTTTAAAATTAGAGAAAACTGGATATCAGCCCACTTTTTGGAATAATTCTGTATTCTTTTCTCATCCCACTTTAAAGAACTTTCCTGATTAGGTTTGAACTAATTATGCTAGTTATACATTATGGTATATATTTATTCAGTAAACATTTAATGATGCCTATTCTTTACCTCGTAGACACTGTGATAGGCATTGAGTAATAAAAAGATAACTGGGATTTGGTCCTGACCGTCAAGCTGTGCTTAGCTTAGTCTTGTGGGAGTTACTTTCTCTCTTGGGACCTGTCACTTTGCAAGAAGAAAATCTGCCTAGTTTTCTTGAAAGCTAAATAATCTTATTCTGTATTTTACACTTATTTTGTATTCTAACTTTATATTTGCAAGTTGTGAATACCTGGGTTTTTCTTTTTTTTTAATCTTAAACCATATCCAATTTTGCTTGATTTATTAGTCTTTTAAACATTGTCAGATTTTCTCCTTTGTTGTTAATATTATTGTAATTTCACTTTTATTTGTACTTTTATTGTCAGTTTCATCAAGACTAAAACTTTGAAGATGAAATACAATCAGTCTAGTATCTTGCTAATTGAAATCAAACAAAAGAGTATATACCCAGTTGGTTTCTCTACCTCTTCCAAAAACTGTCCAAATATGCTTTTAGGATATTTCTGTCTTTTTAAAAAATAATTACTTTGGACATTCATTCAATAATACGGACCCTCCTGGTTGATGGTGGGATATAAAGTAAACAAGACAATCTTTACTTAAAACTTGTCTCATGTGCAGTTGCTTTCATAACCAAACATTCCAGTTTCACAGTTTGCCCCACTCCATTACCACCCCCACACCACACCCCGTATCTCTTTAGATAACTGAGTAGTCTGTGGACATAGAAACACACGATCTTTTTTTAAATTTTACTCTGATCTAAGGCATTGATGTCTAGACATAACAAATTATTGCCCATTTTCATTCTGCTATGAGCTTTTACTTTGCTAAATCCTTTATATTTATCAGCTGACTTTTATTCTTTCTCCCCTTCTCTTGACACATGTCCCTAATGGTTTTGCTGATTACCCTCTTCCTTGCCAGTTGTGTTATATCAGCGTACATCAGAATGTTTCTCTCCTTTGACTTACAAAAGACCAAAAAGGATGGTACTATTCAAACCCAGGGTTCTAATTCCTTTATTAAGGTTGATGATGTTCAAATTGGTCCATCACTTGATGGGAGAAATTATCTTCAGTTTAATGTCTTTGTGACTAGCAAATCGCATGTCATTAGGTTCTATTTTAACTTACGTTTAGGATTATGAACTTTCCTGGCAGTTGCAGGCAATGATTTTCCTACAATATTAGCCCTGTTTCCCACCTTGGAGCATAATGGATTGTTGGATTTAGCACAATTAAGAGTAGTGACTATAGTGTGTGGTCTCTAAAGGCAGGCAGAATACTATTATTGAGTTCCTCTCACATCTTTTCAAGCTTTCCATGAATATTTTGACTGTTCAGACTACTTTGTTTTATGTATGGGGATTGTGGGACAAATGGTCTCTGGGTGTGGAATTCCTGTTTTTGTAGCCTCAGCCAGGAAATGGGAACTATACTAGATTTAGATGGCCTTTATGACAACTTGTCTAACGTGTTCACATAATTTCTTGAGTAGTAATTTTTATCCTGGATATTACAGCTAACTTTATAGATAGAATAACTGCCTTAAATCTTTTTAGTAGGAAATAAACTATATAATGTGTGTGTATGGATTTATATATACATACATGTACACTCAGAAAAACCTTAACAGTAAGGATCACTTATTTGCATATATTTTTAAAATATTGAATGCTTCTCTTGCTTCACTAGAAAGTTCTTAATTTGCTTGCAGACATTTTCCTTTCATGGACAGACCATCGGAGTAATTATTTTTATTCTGCCAGAGTCCTAATTTGGCGGTTCAGTTAGTATACCATTTTTAGGTACACTGACAATTAAGAATCATAACGAATTCATTAACATCAAATAAAGCTCTGCTATATATCCCTTAATTAAATTATTATACACTCAGTGGTCTCTGGAAGGTACTAACTTAGGGTTAACTTTTTAAAAAATGTTAGATGGAGGTTCCCCACCCCCTGCCCTTAATTCTTTTCCCTTTGGTATAAGATAGCTGCTTAAGATACCATGGGAAGTACCACTACCAAATTAAGTTTTCCTGTATTTAAGGGGAGCCCAAAGATGGTGCAGACCTGATTTTCTTACCTGTGCCCAACAGAAATGGACTTTCCAAAGTACTTTCGGCCATCTCTGATTCACAGAGGATCTGACTATAGTATATTAGCCTCAGTTAATTTCAATATCAATTGCTTTGCTGTTGTGAGATCATTATAGACTCAAAATTTCACCAGTAGTTGAGGTGGAAGGACCCCTTGTAAGAATAATGCCACTGATAATGGGAGTGAGAAGGATTCATTAACTATACACAAAGGACTTTCAGATTTTTCTTGCAAAAATATTTCTGAAAAATGATGTTCTATCCTCCAAGGGGAAAAAAGAAGAAAAAGTTCTTAATTTCTCCAAATTTTCCAGTTTGCTTTTCTGAATTGGGGATAGGGATTTGCTTTCTATTTCTAATAAAAAGATAATTTATGGAATAATGAAATCCATAATATATTGATTTATAAGAACAAAAGTAAAGTTTTAGAATTATATAAATAACATTTTCTATTTCACACTCTACTGTTCTTTCTCCCTCTGGCTTTAAAGCTTTGGGCTATTTACAATGTTAGTCACTAGAGAACTTGGCATATTTCTGGTTCTATATTAAGTTCTACCCTTTACATTGCTGCAGCATAGAGCTAGTTCTAAAAATTTGTCTGTAGGAAAAGAAGTCCTACTAAAGTCTCTTTTCTTCCAAAGAGATTTTCCCTTTTCTGAATAAGTCCCTAAGAAAATATCTGTCACTTTCATTAAAGTCCTGTTTCTTGGCAAAATGCAGAACCCAAATTGGTCATTTCTTAGATTATCTTTATCTCAGGCTTCATTTTTGTTTTGACCCTGACCTTTAAAGCATAAATATTTGTTTCTTTTTATTAGTGATAGTGAAGCTGTGACACTAACCATTTTTATACAAGAGGGCAAAACAAGAAAAACTACAGAGATTAAGATGAAAGCAGTTCTGTACTTGTTGAGCTAGATCACAGCATTGTAGGCAAAATAAAACTTTTATATCTCAGAATATTCTTTTTGCCAGTTCCCCCCAAGGCCAGATCCTCTGGTGGAGGGAGCACTGTTAAAAGTTACATAATTCAGAGCCTTTGGGTCTGAGGGAAATAATCTCCAGTTGGTGGTAGTCTTTTCAATATATGAAGCAAGAATATGGGAAATGGTTGGCAGTAAGTGCTATAACCTAAAAAACGTGAAAAGATATATAAAACTGGATTATTTACTTAGCTCTGAAAACTTTTAAAAAATAGAGTAAAATACTGTATAACTGGACAAAAACAATTGTTAGAGGATTTGTCTGAAGACAGTTTGCAAGGATGAACGTTTATGCACTGTTCACAGTTTAAGTACTACCAACTATTCTTAAAATTGACAACTTTAAGACATTTATGGACTTCCTAGGAATTAGCCATTAGCAAGTGTTCTAAAAATATTTATGAGCTGATGCCCACATAGGTAGATTTATGCTCTTGAAACTTTTTATCTTTTCTGTAGAGATACCAAGGGAGGAGTGAGTGGTATTTTTAGGGTGAGCAATTGCCCTGGTGTGCCTGGGACTGGAGTTCCCTGGATGTGGCACTTTCAATGCTAAACCCAGGAAAGTCCCAGGCACCCCAGGAGCTGATCACCCTAGGTATTCTTGTGATTTCCCCTCAGTCCCATAAATGCTGTAATAGTTGTGATAAAATTCAGTTGCCCTGTGGCTGTCAACGTTTCCAATACTTGGATATGTGTCCCTCAATCACTTATTACTATGGATGGAACATGAGATTTCTAACAATAGCTAATAATAGTGGTTTAATGAAGATAGAGAAGAGGCAACTAGATAGCTAAGTTCTGCAGATCCTGTGTGTATATTTAAGTACAAGTCACATTTTGATGGGATTAATGTAATCAAATTTAAATTTTTCACAATGAAAATTAAATGAAAACTGGTGTGGATTTCTTCTCTATTGAGGGAAAATATGGCCTTTGATACTCTGTCCTCTACATTCCCCAGACTTGTGGCTAAAAAAGCCAGAATGTGGTGTTATATATACCAGTATTTTCCATAAATGTTGTATTGAGATTACTAAGTGCATCAGCCACTGGCAGGTGAATGAGCTGGTGGCCTGATCCAGACTGAGCAGTGCTCTCAGTTTCATAGCCTCCTACCCCTCAGGTGCTTACCAGCTAGAACACTGACGACAGGAGGTGAGATTTTTTTCTAATACGGCATTAATTTTGTAATGCAATATGATGGATGCAGAGTCTGTTCTTGTTTCCCTATGGTAGTCCTCAGATACTGCATTCTCTGTGCACTGTGATGTAGATGGTAGATGTATTCTTTGTAAGCTTTAATTCTGTGATTGTCAAAAGTACGATGTTCCATTTTTAAAAATTAAACAATAAGCTGAGGCTTTATTACAGCTGGTTTTCAATTTAAAGTTGTGAAATACTGATTTTCTTTCTCCCCACCCACACCAAATATTTTAGTCTATTTAAAGTACAAAAAAAATAGTTCTACTTACGAAAACATTGCTTAAGTATTCTGTGATTTCTGGTCAACTTTTATATATATATGTGTGTGTGTGTGTCTGTACATGCTTTCACTTTTTACCTTGTTTGCTCTCTACCTGTGTTAACAGTACTTTCACCTTTGAAGGTCAGTTTTTCCTAGCATTAAAACAAAAAGCCATTTGAGTTGCTTACCATTTTATTATGGGACTAATTTTTAATTGTTTTAATTGGTTTTGATTTAAATTGAACTTTTTTTTAGGGGGGGTATATTTTGCTGTACATATCCTAAATTATGTGGAAACAAAAAAAATTCTGTGTGTATTTCACATAATGGAGGTCTGACTAAGAGTACATTTTTTTTTAAGTTTGGTATTATATAAGAAATTAACCCCACTCCCCTGGCAGACAGATATGCATTGCTTAATATACCCCCCAAAACACACAGCACCTCCCCCACACAGTGCTAGTGAGTTATGTATGCATTTTAGTGTATTTCAGAGAGTGCCTGTGCCAAATTAATGATCAACTACTGTAAACAGACTAGAAGATAAAATTCACATTTGCTCTTAAAATGTACTCTTAACAAAAACGCAAATGTTATTTTTTTAAGACTCCATTGAAAAATATTAGGTGGGAAATAGTGTAGTCATAATTCGTTCTATCAACATCGTGAAATAATTGAAAATCTTAAAAAAAAAAAAAGACTTTTTAGATCAATCAGACTTCCTTTGTCTTGCAGGAGCTCAGTTCCTAGGGTGAATCAATAATTTTCTGGTTAGCAGGCTGTTTTCTTCAAACCATTTAAAACATAATGCTTTAGGATGCAACAAAAGGGACCTCAAAAGTTAAAATACACTAGCCTACTTGGCATTGAACAGCTCAGGGACTAGCACTTGTTTCATCAACAATTTTGTATTGGTGGAAAATCCATTTAAACAAATTCTGTTTAAATTGTTATACCATACTCCTCTGTAAATAACCCGAAAGGAATCTTCCAACATTGAACTTAACAGTATCACTTCAGTTGACAGACCAGCAGAGATTCTTTT